CTAGGGAGGGGGAGGGGTTCCCAAAGTTTACGTAATCTATTGAAACATGAGACTCGTTCCACATACTGAGTAGTAGTAATTTTATTTAGTAAAGAAAACGCAAACAAAATTTTTTACTGAAAGTTTGAATTGCCTGCACCTTACATTTAACCCTCAAAATTGTTTCTTTGTAATTTATTTCAATGTTTCCACAAAAAAGCAAAAACGTGATGCACTTGGGATGCGAAGAAATTCTTCTTGAAGAACACCACCAAGACTACCCCTACACAAACACAAGGTATTTTTGACAGCATATTTTCGCGAAGAGGTACCAGGGCCAGCTAGAGACCAGTCAGTCACCAAGACTTCACTACAATTAAATTTATTATTAAAGACAGATGAGCAGCTTACATTTATTTGCGCCCAGAACAAAAAACAATATCAAGCAAACATTCTCACATTTACTAAAACGCAAAAATATGTTTTTACTGAAAATCCGCGTTGCCGACACCTTACATTATGTAAAACTTGATTATTTATTATTATAATTTAGCTTTCAAAAAAAATTGAAGGTAAAACATAGTATTCCTGATGACAGAAAATTCAAAAAATAAACATACTTTTCAATGTCACAATTGATGGCGACAGCGTTCGCAAAGTGTACAACCAGCTTGTCGAGTTATATGATTCCCGATAAGTGTAATAGCTGCATTAATCGCATAAGTTGAATCCTTTAAATTAGCACCACTATTAAATGTAATGGATGTTGTTGCCATTATATTACCTTGAAAATTTGTACCACTACCGAGTGTTGCACTGCTGCCTACCTGCCAAAAGACACAACCCGGCTTAGCACCACGCTTCAATAGAACGTTACTGTTGCCAAATGTAATTAATGTACTGCTCGTTTGGAATATGTATACACCGCCACCAGTCAATGTTAAATTGCCACTAGTTAAAAATGCACTACTATCAAATTTATAAACTCCTGGATGCAATACTAAAGCACATAAATTCACACCACTTAAATCTTGGGTTTTGGCTGCAAGAAATGCTTGATTATAAGCCGCAACTAAATCTGCTTGAGCTTGTGATGCATTCGTATCAACAACATGTTGTGTGCCAGATGACACTATACCCGATGGAAAGGCAGTCACAGATGTACCGGGACTAAGACCAAGATTACCACGAACAACTGTAGCACCAGCATTGGTCATTGTTATACCAACTAGAAGAGCAAATGATTTTGCGCTTGCCAATTGTACACAAGGGTGTAGTGGTGTTGAATAAGAAACCGAAAATAAAATACAACAAAATATTAGAAAAGCGTTCATGATCAATAATAGCAATAATAATAATTATGTCAGTCTACAGTAAAGATGAGATGAACATGTTTCGATAATTTTTTATCCACTATATCTGAAAGTTACTCCTTTTTATAGGTTGTTATTTTCTTTTCGGCATTGTATATATTTCGTTACCGATACGCAACTATCGCCTGTGGCGATTATCAGTTATCGCTTCAGTAACTTTCAGAATAGGGCGGAAGAAATTATGTACTACTTTTAGTCGAATTACTTCATGTTGTACGCTTTTCTTAAATTACTAACACTTTTGCAGACTATTCTATTGCATGTGCAATCTTCCTCAGTAGAGCAGAACATATTATCAACGTAACATGTTCTGTTCTACTGAAGGTCGTTGCACTTGCAGTCGAAACGTCTAGAAACCAACCTTATTTAATCAGAAAAAATTATCGAAAGCAACAGTCAATCAATGGATTTGATCTATTCTTTTTACGAAAGCAACAGTCCAATTCAATTTTTCTGTAATCTGTCTAACTGCATACAGTCTACTTCATTTCTAGTTAGTTATTTAGTAATAGATACGGCTTCCATGCCACGCTTCTTCCATAAAACCTGCAGCTTTCAGTGCGGTGTTTCATTTGGGAATACGGAATGTAGTCAGGAGATGTCTTGTAGTTTAAGCATGAAAAATACAGCTTGCGGCTGCGCGACTAAAATCCCATTAACGTTTTTTCTAACAACGACAGACACCTCTGGTTACCGCCATTCGATTCAGCTCCCCAAGCGCTACAAATGAGATAAGTTTTACCCACACTTTTGTATATCGTGGTAGGTTTCATATTGATTGACACAGCGAAAGAGAGTTCTTTTTCGTCTAGTTTTTATTCCTTTCTTCACGCCTTTAAT